GCTCGATTGGTTTAATCTCTCTCTCTCTCTCTCTCTCTCTCTCTCTCTCTCTCTCTCTCTCTCTCTCTCTCTCTCTCTCTCTCTCTCTATCTGCTCTATACGATGCCCGAATGAAAATAAAAGACGTGTACGCATACGTGGAAAAGCGGCTGCCACTTGAATTACCTGTTCTAGCCGATCACTCGCTCTCGCGAAATTGCATCGATGGACTTTCTGGTGCGCTACTGCGCTATATTTGAAAATATGTGCTATACGCTTCGTTTGATGGTTTTTTTAACTAACTGCCGGGCATGAAAAGCGTCTACTTTTTCTTTCGGAAATTCTTCTGGTTTATCAAATCGATTGATTTTTCACGTTTTTTCCAATAGTGAACATTATATTGACATAACTTTATTCGAAACCGTTATATGTTATAAGGTTTCTCGTGACAAACTGGCATAGTAATATCCAGCAGACAATGTGTCAACTTCACACTAGTAATGCTATTATCGAACAGATTTAACGCGCTATCAGTATTTCATATAATAACATTTTATGCGTTGAATATTAAGAAGCAAGCAAAACGTAGCAAGACATAACTTAGAACTAGCTGATTATATTATAATAATAATTATTATTTAATAACGGGCAAATTTACGCGTTTTCTTTATATTACATATATCGCGACTGCATTCTAGTACATTTCATCCTTTTACATTTCTAAAATATATAATAATTAATATTACAAATTCACTTTATTTAATAGACTTTTAATCGAATTAATCAATTCTACTGAGCAGAACTTTTACGTAGGATTAATCGATATTATGTATCATGAGTTTTAGAGTTTTAAATTGAACTTTGAACTTGCAGCATGCAATTAGAAAGCGTTATAAAATTCGGAATTTACCGAATATAATCTACGTAATCGCAATGAACAACTAGCCGAGTTTGTCGGATGATTTAGCTCTTTTATGTACTGTTAATTACGACAATTAATATTACGAACTGTAAAACGGACTCATTCACACTGAATTTCTTTGACGCTTAAATCCCCTAGTATCGTAATAATAGTCGAGCAGAGGAAGTTTTATTAAAACATCCGAAAGAGCGTAATGATTTAAATGCCCTCTCGTTCATCGCGATAAGCTTTTGGAGAATTGGCTCGGCTAACAAAGCAGCTCACGCAGCTCATTTAACTTTCATCAGTTTGACTGGCTTGCTGGCTGAGGTGAGGGTGGATAGGTACACAACGGTTACACCTCAAACACACGCAGCCGAGCGTTAGGTTCGTTCCATATTCAATACAAACGCCGTTATTGGCGCTGCTCACGGCGGCGACAACAGTTTATTCCTTCTATCCGCGAAGCTCAACGCGACGGCTGTGCATTGAGAAAAGAGCGCGCGTTCTCGAGACGACGAGCTTCTGGCCGCGATCCAACGACTCCGCGACCGAGCAAGCAATCGATATACGCCACGGACGCAGTGTGAAAATAGAGAGAGAGAGAGAGAGAGAGAGAGAGAGAGAGAGAGAGAGAGAGAGAGAGAGAGAGAGAGAAAGAAATTCTTTTACAGGCTGTTAATTTATTCGGACGGTCGCGTACCCGGCAAGCTTCTGTCACTTACTGCATCGAGTCCGCCAGATCATTGCCAGAATTTATTAGCGGCAAATTTCCTGTTTTTTCTCTCTCGCGATGCCGAGTTTGCAAGCCCTATTCGTACTTTGTATTCATCGTCGCCAGTTTTTTAGCCCAAGTAGCCGGTGCGTCAATCGTGCGACGAAGAAGAAAGTCTTTCGTTTTAGTTATAAATTTCAAGGGATGTACTGCGAACCCATTCATGCCTTGATGATCGCTTAGCACGATCAAATTATTGTTTCTGCGAAAAGATAAAATAATCCCCATTCTCCAGAAAAACGTAATTATCCTGGAACTGCAGAAAAAGGAAATTTATCATTTTAAATATCATCATTATTGCATAAGCAAAAAACTCGTAAAACTCGATGGGCAATGTGCGCAGGTGGAAATTAAATGAAATTGTCATTACTTTTTTTTTAAGTGAATTGGAGTTTTAAAAGGTGAAACGTAGTGCATTATTTAATTCAATTATTTTTATGCCCCTGAAAATAAAAACAAAGCGCTTTCAATCGGCCTTTCTGTTGAATGTTGAAAGCATGCATGCAAGAACGTGGCAATTATATAAAGACGGGAGGCACTCGAAAAGGACGAAAGTTTTTTTCAGCAAAACTTACGCTCGAGCGAACTGAAATACATGTACTGCTAACTCTCTTTGGGAAAACGACAAAACGTGCTCGCCGTCGCAGCAAAGTGCGAAACGTGCCATCATTCGTCGGCAAATCCAGCAATTTCCATATTCACCCGTCGACGAAAAAGAAGAAGAAAAAAAAATGAGCGAGCAATTTTTCATCAACTCTGCCGACGAAAGCTCGCGAGTAATATACAGTCATACATTTTCTCCCGCTCTCTTAGGAGAGGAAGAGCTCGCGATACGGAAAAACTTGTGGTTAAATCCATAAAACAGAAAATGTTTACTCTCGAGAAACGAGCTCGCGTTTGAAAGTTTTCCGTTTTCAGGGTGATCGACTTTCTTAATATCCAACAAAAATATAATCTAACTCGGCTCGTTTCGGGCAAACAAGCGCACGTACGTCTGTTATAAGCTACACGTTTGCCTCTGGCGCATTAGCGCCTCATGTGTTAATTAGGGGATATAAGAGTTGGTTGAGCTTTAATCTGCTCGCGGGACTCGACGCTCTCTTCATATTCTCTGCTGTTTGTACGTTTTTATTGTTTTTCCGTACTTTTGTAGGCGCATTAATTAACTAAAACTGAGTATGCCGCGCAAGAAAGAAAGCAGCGAATGAACGGTCGTAAACTGGATGGCTGTAATTGATTAGCCTCGAAAACACGTCGCTTTCCGCGCGTATTAAAGGTAATTCGCTCGATGGCTTTGGAATAACTGATAAATGCATTGCGTTGCGATCGAGTTTTACCTGTCGGCCACTTAATGAAATATTTGCTTAATCACTGCTCCACTGGATTTTTATTGTTCCGCGCGCGCTTGGCTTTATCCATCGAGCGAACCCGTCCGCTCTTTTTTGTACGCCCGTAAGAGCATCGATTGTAAATTGCTGTCGCGCATCGGTGAGCCTCGCAAAAATACATACGTCGCGCGAATAAATCCGTCAGTCGGGAAACGGACGGAGGAAAATCTCGTGAAATATTTATCCTCTCTGACGCGAGCAGCATTCAACTCCATAATCCTCGACGCATTCGTGAAATCAAGAGTCCGTCCCGACTTTCCTCTTTCCTTTTCCGTCCAGCTTCCGAGGAGCGTTTTGATTGCGTTTCAAAAATGTAATGTCATGCCGGAAAAATTTCAGTGTTTTTTCTCCGAAGGAGGAGCCGTCGAAATGAAAAGTCGTATTCTCGCAGTCAGCATTCCACTCCAAGTTATTAACTTAGCTTGCTAACATTCGCCGTCGGTTGTGAAAAGGGGATGAAAGAGAGCCAAGAGCAGACGATGATCGAGAAGCGATCTAGTTGTAAGATAGAGCGATTCGAATTCCTCTGCTGCATCGTCTCGGGCAGTTACGTTGTGGACGCGAGCCGAAAGAGATGCCTTCTCGTAGACGACCCAGCCGTACTCGTCGCGATCCTCGCCCTCCGCAAATCATTTATGCGCACGCGAAGCGCTTCTTTATTTACTTGTTCGCCTTGCGGCTTTGCTCTCGACTAAACGCTCGTTCTCATTCTTTGCGGCTTTATTCTTTTTTAGATATCGCGCGTGCATCGCTTGTCGGTGCGAAGAGCGCGAGAAGCGTTTTCAGCGCGCTTGCTTTACCAAGCGTGTCCAAATTTCCGCGTGTAGTGTCAACATTCCGATTATTTTTCCAAATATTGACACGCTTTTGTCGTTATATCAATTGTATTCTGTAAAAATAATCTCACAATAGCACGCCGTAATTCTGATAATTAAAAATTATCATCGTTGTTGATTTTACACTCTACAACTCGAAAAAAGATAGGTAAAGTACACCGTGGCATTGTTGAGTTTTACATGAAATAATTTTGGCGGTTGGTCCCGAAGATTAAATCGTATAATATATACGAAATGGCATTACTTATCGGAAAATTATTTATTCAATGATCTCTGCTGAAAAATGCTTAAAGTATCAGTATTGCTGGCACCGTTTTGGGTTCAAAGTCGAAAAATCCAAACACGTTCTGGAAAACAGTGCACTCGGCTACGATACTACTGGCTTCGAACATGCCAAAAGTTTCGCGGCTAAGGTAGCAGCCGCAACCTGTTTCTTGGCATCGCCCCACTGCCGGAAATGAATCAGCTGCGATAAGCACAGTAATTATCGTTTGTCGTTGCCGTCGCAATTTTCGTATTCCAAGGAAAAACTTATCACAGCTGTATGTCTAAGTAGATTCGCAGATGACTGAGCGCGTATTTCGAAACAAATTTCCGTTAATACCCTTGGTATCGAATGGTTTTTTCGAACACTGGGCATCAAAGAATTACGCAGGGAAATATAAAAAACGGAGAGAGAAAGGAGAGATCGCGACGACGAAAAGACTAGCCAAGCATACCCAAATCAGTTTATTTACATGTGTGCCAAAACCACCTCTCTTTGTCGTTGCCACCTCCAAATATCGCCAATACCCAACAAAAATGTAAGCAACAACACCCCCAAGCCCCCTTAGATTCGTAGTCCGAGCCAGTGCGAGGCATAGATATCGCGCATAAGTCACCTCGTCGGCGGATAAACGAAACACGTGGAAGCAACCACGGACAGACGACAAACAGAGAAAGAGAGGGGGGAGGGAGAGAGATTGTCTCGGAGGAGGGTGTCATCGCCGCTGCCCGTATACGTACGGGGACTGGGAAGTGCGCTTGCGCGCGAGCTTGCGCTGGTTGTACGAGCAGCAGCAACCCCTTTTTCCCATCGCTCGTCTCTCTCGCTCGTCTCGCTCGCTGTTGCGTTGCGGGTCGCCGCGCGGGAGCTGCGCGCCCGTCTTCAGTGGCCGCGCGTCGACCGCACTGCGCGCGCGTGTTTTGTTTTGCTCGCCGTGGTGCATCCAAGTGCTTTCAGCGTCGCGAGTGCGTGTGCAAATTCGTCACGTTGACGGCGTGCTCGCTCCTACGCCGAAGCCAGCGACGCGCGTTGCACCCTCCGATGCGCCAAGAGTCACTGTCGATCTCGCGATCATCATGAGCGACGAGGCCGTGTTATCACCCCAGAGAAGGTAAACTATTTAGGCTTGCGGCGTGCAAATGCTCGCTTTTAAATGTTTACCTTGTACGTGGAAAATTCGCCGTTATCGTTGACGATTTCGATCTCGCGAGGACGAACGAACTGCCGGTACATGAGAACTCCGTCGCCTGAAAACTTGATTTTTGGATTGACGGTGACGACCAGCGTCAGCGAGGTGGCGCGTACGGAATCGGGCCGATTCTTCGGCCGGTTCAACGTCGTCGACACGTAGCGACGCCGACTCGACGAGACTTAATTGAATTTGGAAACAATCTTCTGCCGCGCACACAGTCCTTGGTTTCGGGAGTTTGATCGAGGCTCACGGAGCTCCCTCCGCTGTCGAGCTTCGCGCGAATTAAGAGACAAGTACAAGTGCGCCACAGTGAATCCAGTGTCTCCCATTATAACGCTCGTGCACTCGATTGACAGAGATGGCCGTGCCCCGAGTGAAATCGCGCGCGTGGCGAGATCGCTTCCGCGAACGCATCGAATTCTCGTTATCGACAGCTGATTTTTCATTGTTTCAATTCGTCGAGAGTACTTCGCACCCGCACACAGGGACGAACATAAAAGTGCAATCCGTCTCTCCGACGAGATTTGCTGCGACGAGATAGCACGGGAGTTGGAACACTGGAATGAAAATGGAAGATATTAATCACTCGTAATCGAGAGAGGAGAAAAGAGGGAGGAGAGAGCTTGTTTGAAGTACCCGCAGCTAACTCTTGCGTCCGTTGAAATGACGAATCGGATCCAATGTAAAATTATTCGCCAATGTTGGTGACATGCTTGGAATTAATTACCGTTGGACTGACTCGTCGCGACAACTAGCTTCGTTTAACATAAATCACGTCCTACATGTTCGCGCTATATGTATATGCATTTCCATCTCTGCGACACTCTCGCATAGCGAATGGTAACAGTCGATACGTGGTCATTAAATTAATTATATCCTGGAGTGTCGCTTTATTAGGCAGCAATTAAGTGTCTAAATTAGATCGTAATGTCGCTGTCCCCGTAAAGCGCGGTTTAATTGTTTTCGGAGTGCCGGCGTGAAAGCAGTGCGCTGTTTACTCGTCATCGGTTCAAAATGAAGCAGCTGTTCACGCTGCTAATTTACCAACGTTATATGCTCACGGCTTTCTATGTATTTACCTTTTCCATGCCACGACCACTGCGGACTTGCCCCGATGCGTCGTGGCGTCAAAATCAAAACCCGGTTGCGAAACTTATTTATCCCACCGTCCACTAGCTGATATTAGTTTTCCATACGAAGTTTCAGGTCGCATGGGTATTTCGCCGAGAATAAAACAAAACCAAAACCAAAAAAATTGATGCGACTATGCATCGGATTTACGAATTCCATTGTCCGTCCAATTCCGCGTTGGTCTAAATTGCACACCGAGAGGTCATTGGGCGCGCGCAGTTGCGGTAATTTCGGGTTTATCACCATGGCCGTATCGAATGTTTTTAATTAGTCCGGACGGAAGAGCGCCTCGAAGGGTATTTTTTGCGATAGTGCGCGCGCCATCTTCGGCTATCTGCTTCCCCGTTCGCTAATTGAATACGCCCGTCGATTTTCGCGAGTCTCGTGCCCTTTTCGTGGCGTCGAACACCTTACGCGCATACGGATTCTCGATGGGACTATACGCACATTGTCGAGTTCTCGTTTTCGTTTTCTTTTCCTTTCGTTTTTCATTTTGTCGAGCTTGCTAATGACGTGCCGAGGTCGGTGATGCTCGATAGACGCAGAAGCTCGTTATTTACGTGCATCCAAAGGGCCTCTATCGGATTTTACTTTGATTACACCCTCACGTATATACGCTACTTTCACGGGGGGGGGGGGGGGGGGATTGGAGCACGGATGCTGGCGCACGCTATATAATAGTCTGAAAAACTTCGATGCCGTGGCGACGATGGAAAGTCAATAAGCCGACGTTCCTTAGAATAGAGCTTTTGTAATTATTTCGTAAACATTATATAAATGTACTCGTATTAGAACTAGCCGCTACATAATTATTGATAAGCTCGAAATTCATTAATTACAGCGCGCTGAAATTATAGACAAACAAGAGCTGAGTTTGCCCTTAGACGCGTAATTCTCGATCTCGAAGTTCACGCGAAGAGCTTTCGTCAAATGGAACTTCGCTGGTAGCCTGGCATGTCTGCGTTAAGCCTTTGATTTTGCTCAGGCAAACTCAATCTACCAACGTACTGGACAAACAAACGTAGCAATCGGTAGATAACGAACAAGTCTATTGAAAAGTCGACACGAAGATCACTATTCGAGTTGATTTTTAAGAGTTGCCAACGAGTTGTGTGTTACAGGAGGCGAAGACTGGAGGAAGAATGCCGTACGAATTAGCGAAGGACAACGAGGAGTGCCGGTGAGAAGGGTGGAGGAAAGACGAGTTGAGCTTTCTTCTTCCGCAAGACAGCACGAGGCAATGTCGTAGTGCCCTTCCGCGCGAGTGCGGGAGTGCGCGAGATAGTGAGAGCGAGAGAGAGAGAGAGAGAGAGAGAGAGAGAGGGAGGAAGAGCAAGAGGTTCGAGTGAGAGAAACGGCTGGTTGGGCGCACAATGGCGCTTCTCTTCGCCGTCATCGTCATTATGGTCACCACTGCCATGTCTCTGCCGCCGGTCATTAGGATTGGTGAGTCTGATTAACCGAGTTTTCACTTCCTTTCCGTGGCTGCCACCGCGATTCAATATGGAGCGCGAGTCTTTTTCTTCGATTGATCCCGATCTGCATATGACGCCTTTTATGCACGACCTAATAGTGGTTACGCAACGCGCACTTCTGAGCAATCCGCGGAATCAATGGAAAATTAGTCGTTTTCGGAATAGCCGGTTTCGAAGCCTCTCTTTAAAGAGAAATGCTTCAAGTAGAATGTACAGGCAAAGTTTCATACCGTTTCGCGTTTGCTCTCATATTCAAATGTCCGCTTTAATTTGTAGCATTAAGAGTTATACGTGAATGTGTTACACCGCGCCGCTTTGAAACGACATATCTCGCATCCGCGTATGTGTACCTTGAGTGTTTTATTACAGGAACGAGATTCAAAGTCGAGTGAAAAAAGCAAGCAAGGATTTTTGACGAATACAATTTCCAAGAATTCCACTATTTGTTAGGATCTATAGTACACTTTCTGAGAATGATGCGCTGTAATTTATCAAAGCAGCTTAATTATTTTATTTTTAATATATTTTTTTTTTTGGAAAAGTGTTTTACGGGGCAAGTAATATGCAGGTCGCTTTCCCGACGCTGAAAGTATAATCCGTTAGTAAATATCATATATTTTTTACCAGCGAACGTAATCCCCGCGCATTTTGTCGAACGCGCCGAAGGAGTCGACTGATCGCGTGTCTATCGAATTTTCATTTGTTGCCGGCTTCGCCGGACAATCGAGCCGCCGGAAAATATTCTCGTTAGTATATAACGCCGTCGATCAGCGAGCGAAGAGTGGCGGATGAATTCGCGCGAAAAACAAAAAAGTGCAGTTAATTAAAGGGCCCCGCGAACAAAAGAGTCCGCGTGAATAATGAATACCGTGTGTAATAGCGTATTTTCCAGTAGCGTATTTCGCGCAGTGACCATCGCGGGGGCTGTAGGCGTCGCGCAAGTTTTGCCGCAGCGCATGACTAAATGCGATTTGACGCTCAGCCAGGCATAATTTATAGGCACGAGAGATCTTTCGGAGGGGGCGAGGCGAGGCGGCAACCGAACCTAAACTTTCGGCGCACATCTATAATTGGACGAATTTCAATGGCTCTCGAACTGTGTGTGTGTGTGTACGCGCGCGCACCGCACGGACGCGCGCGTGCGCCGAAACTTTGTGCGGCAATTCGGCATGCGTAATGACGGTGGTTCACTTGATGAGTTGTGAAATGCTTGCATTTACCGGCTATTTCGCGAACAATGACGTTTCGGTCTTTTCAGATGTTTTATTTTACAGCTTCTCTTTGTCGGTTGCCAAAGAAACAAGCATTACAGGATAACGCCATTGTTTTCTTTTTTGGCTCAACTCTTTGTACAGCGTTCATCCGTTTAACTCTTTATACACAGTTCATCTGTTTTTTTTTCCTATTTATAACAAGAAATGTAAATTCAACGAGCATGCTTTTTCAAAGCTCAAAAATGCTCGAAAACCCTACGGAGAAAAAAGAAGTGTTCTCGAATTCTCGGGAGGACGCGTCGGAAAATTCACCGCAGCTGACTCGCCGGCGGAATAGAGCGGAATGCGCGGCTGCAGGAAGCAACAATATCTCTCACGCGCGCGTTCACGTGCGCCTCTATTCCACACGGCGCTGGTGCAAGGCGTTTTTCCCTTATAAAAATAAGGATCGCGCGCAAGCGTCGCCGCGAGAACAGGGGGACGGCAGGGGAGCAGGGGGGGAGGGCTGTACTGGCAACAAAGGCAATCTGACGCTCTCGCGTCGGAGCTGAACAAAGGCGGCTGAAAAGATAATTAAAAAGCGAGCAAGGAGCTGAAAAGTAGCCAAGGACGAAGGGGAAGAGGAAGGAGGCGACGCGCTAAAGACTCTTTTTTAAAAACCGTTCGCGGAGTGAAAATTAACGCTGCTCGGTAGTCGCGGCTTCTGATAATGCTTGGCGCCGCGTCGTGCCGCGCGGCGCGTCTACGCATCTCATCCGGATTCAAAGCTCGCAGGCAAGAGAGAGAGCTAAGCATACTTGCCTACGCGGTATACTCGGGCTTACATATGTAGAGCCATTACGCCGCGCGGAAACAGTTTCTCATCAGCGCGCGCGCACGAGCAATGATTTTTCGGCGCTATACGTCGCTGCCACTGTATTATTCTTGAAAGCCCTATCCTTCCGGCCACGGTGTCTTGATCATTCTCTTGATATTTCCCGCCCGTTCTGCGCGTATATCTCGAGGGAGGTACGCGCTGTGTTTCCGCTCGCGCGCTCCGCTCTTTGCCGTAACGTCTCGTACCAGCGGTACGCCTGGCATATCGCCGATGCAAGTATCGCTTTGTGCACTCGCCCCTCGGCTCCGTACCCGCGCGCTTCTGCTGCAATTTCACGCAAGCAAAAGAAGTAATCGACAGTCGTCCGCGAAAGCCGAGGCTTGTGCTTCACTTTTTGAAACGGGAAAATCCCTCGGAAACGCGCGGCGTTGTTCCGGCGCCGTTCTTTTTCGGCCGCGAGCGAACGACGCAACGAAAAAAATTCGCGCTCGTAGCCGACGCGACGAGAAAAACGGGCGCGAGGATGGCGGGGGGAGGTGGGCGGCGCGTGGTTTTTAAAGCGCAAAGCTCTCGCATCGATTAATACAGATTAGCCGAGCGCGCGCTGCATCGCGGCGGCAGAGCTACGGGCGCTGTATATATTCCAAATGAATGATTCACTAGACGCCGCCCGGATAAGCCACGTTACAGCGAGCCGGCTACGGCAAATTCGAAATTATGCGGCATATCCGACGCATGACAACTTGAGCAAGTGTAATAGTGGCGGCATCCCTCTGCCGCTCTAGCTTATTAGGCGCGAGGGCAATAAAAGCCAGTATAGGCAACGAATCCAGTGCGTGAACATGCAACGCGCGGACTGCATTCGCTGCGGCATGTTTTACGAGTGCCGGCAATGATGGAGCGATCATTAGTGATTTATGGAGTAGTGCGAGCGCCACGCGGGCACGAACGTATGAACAATAAATTGTTTGCGATACGCCGCCTCGGCCGAATACAAACGCCTGACGCGTGTCGTGGGCGTTCGGGGGAACAATTCCGCGCGCCAGTCCAATTTTTCTTCGTCGGAAGCAGGCGCCACCGCGTTAATGAGCAGCCAGGTCAGTCCGCCAGCGGAGTATTAGTTAAGGACACGGCTCGGTGCTACCGTTCTTGCGCGCGCGTTCACTTTACCGACTGGAGTTCGAAAGGATGACGGGAGCGCGATAGATGCTTTATTTCTGGTACCTGTCTTATAATCTTTTCATAAGCTTGGATTCCAGTCGATTTTCATTTCGTCAAATCAGATTGCACTCGAATTCGCTATGTACTAAGCGTAGTCTGCTCGAGATGTCACCGAGACCTCGTAAAGTTCTCCGGAGGAATAACAAGATTCCTGTATTTCTACCGTTCATACTTGTGAATGCATTATTCGCGTGCTTTCTCCGATCACTTACTCTGCCAAACGATCATCGAATCTCAGTTTATATCGTAGACGATAATTGGAATATTATTACTTATACAAATTTCATATTAGATCGGAATATTTTCGCGTTTCCTTTGTATTTCTTCGAAATGCGAATACCACATAGATATTATAATCGAGGTTTTACAAAAGCTAAACCTATATAGTATAGTACCATCAATTGTGCTTTGTTATCCAAGCCTTTGAGAGATGACACACTATCAAGTCTATCTTTGACGGATCAGTATTGCAGGTTATTTCACATAAATGTTTAAATAGAAAATTCTGCCACCCCTTTCATGACGAATTTGCTTTAAGCGTAATGCACGAAACCCTAGATTTTCAGCTTTAATCGCAACTACGGACAGAATGTAACGCGATGGAAATATAGTTAAGTTAAATAAAAAAAATAAGCTCTATCGGCGAACAAAAGAACCCTTCAAATATATTTTTTTAAAGTACTTTAATTTGCCTATTGGGCTCAGCTGGAAACTCATTAACGATTGGCGCGCGCTGATGTGAAGAATGTAACAGTGAGAGAGGCTATTGCCGATAATCGACAGATAGCGAGGTAGATTTTTGCAATCTCCGTTAATTCCAGAGGAGTTGAAGCAGCTGCGCAATTCTTTCGCCATGACTTGACGAGTATAGAGGCTGAATTATATGCGGCGAGCGAGCAACAATTCGACTGGAAAATTTATATCGCAGACAATGCCGACGACATCGAATATTTTCTCCCTCTCTCCTCTTTAGAGCGATAAAGATCAGCCCATAATTGACACTTCTGACGGGTCCTGGAAGGGAAAGATAATCTGAAGCCAGTAGTCTTATCAGGCGCAAAATCAGCTGCTGTTGCAATTTTGCAGTGGATAAATTCGACTGGATAAGTCGACGCGCGGGCGGATTAAAGACGAGAAACTTGCGCGCAAGAGTGAATCTGTTTTGGCCCCGAGAAGACGAGCTTTTATCATTTTATCAAGCTGGCGAAATCAATCTTTGAGTAAACTTGGCTGCGTTAATGAAACCTGATATCCTGCTCTTTGCGTGTGCTTTTGGTTTCACCGGATGAAAGTGTGAGTTTGTAGATTAGAAGGTTTCTGCCAAAAAGCTTTTTGTCCCGGACGTTTTCCCTTGGCTCGCAATTACTAATTAAATATGTGATTAAAATTTTCCATCGCGTAGTTTAAAAATAAATTTCGCGGAAGCTTTAACCAAGCACTCGACGTGATTTTGTGTTGAAAATTGTCAAACGTAGAGCTTATTTCGTAAAGTTTAATATAAAAAAAATAAACGAGAGCCAACTGTCACGTACGAGTGAATTAATAAACCCACGAGGCATGCACAAGGCTAGACCGAAATTATTTGACACCAGACCCTCTGCAAATTCTGCACGAGCACAGCAACACATTGCAAGAGCCACACTCGAGGCTTCGAATCAGTGACAGATGTAGGCTCGTTACAATGGTCGCGTCGCTTCGTTTATATCGTAATATCGACAG